GAAACTAAAACTAAAGTTTTTTCAGTGTGATATAAAATGAAACAAAAACTAAACTTTAGGTATAGTTTTGAAAAAAATGAAAGTTTAGATACTAAACAGATCAAAATTGATATTTATGTACTAAATACGTAATTTACCCTTTATGTTTTTAGAAAATAAAAAAAATGTGGAAAGAAAGAGATTATGAAGTCTCTAAGAAATAGAACAAGTTTCATTTTATTTTCATTGCTCTTAACACGTAATTTACCCTTTATGTACTAAATACGTAATTTACCTCTTCGGGTAGTTGGCTCTTTCCTCTTCTTCTCAATCTTAACACGCTTTTGATTAATATCTATTAAAGAAAATTTCTTCTTTCTCATTTTATTTTCATTGCTTCATTTTTAATCCTTTACCAAAACTTTCATTGAAAATTCTAGGAGCAAAGTTTCTTTCTCTTTTGTCAATTTGAAAAAGCAGAAGCTTTGTTAGATCTCCAAGCTTGGATCTTTAAAAGCAAAGCTCTTTCTTTCCCCGTTTTTTGCTGAAAAACGATCCAAGATTTTGAGTTTTTGTTGACTTTTCTGGGTTTAAAAGAAAGCTCGGATCTTTATGGGAAATTGTTGTGTGACTCCGTCAACCCCATCTCATGGAAAGAAAGAGAAGAAAGGCAAAAAGAAGCAAAACCCATTTTCTATAGATTATGGTCAACACGGACATGGGAACGGAGGGCATAAACTCATCGTTTTGAGTGAGCCAACCGGGAGGGAAATCGAGCAGAGATATGAACTCGGGCGTGAACTCGGTCGAGGTGAGTTCGGGATCACGTATCTTTGTACGGACAAAGAAACGGGGGACACTTTTGCATGCAAGTCGATATCGAAGAAGAAGCTGAGGACAGCCGTTGATATTGAGGATGTGAGGAGGGAAGTCCAGATCATGAAGCATCTGCCTCACCACCCAAATATTGTGACCTTGAAAGACACTTATGAGGATGACCATGCGGTCCATTTGGTCATGGAGTTGTGTGAAGGTGGTGAGCTGTTTGACAGGATTGTTGCAAGAGGTCATTATACTGAGAGAGCTGCTGCTGCTGTCACCAAGACCATTGTTGAAGTTGTTCTGGTATTTTTCTTTCTTTTTTTCATCATCTGGTTTTGGGGTTTTTTGTTGGATTTCTCTAATGGAATTTGATTGATTTAGGGTTCAGATGATTTTCTGAACTAGTTGCTTGAAGTGATTAGATTAAGATGCTGCACAAAATTTTGGGTTTCAATTGCTTTCTAGGACCTAAGTTTTAGGGTATTCAATTCTTAGATTTTGCATTTTCTAGGACCCAAGTTGTTCAAGTATTTTTCTTTCTTTTTATCATTTGATTTTGGGATTTTTTGTTGGATTTCTCTAGTGGAATTTGATTGATTTAATTAGGTTCTGAGTTTTTGATGAGATTCTTGCATTTTTGTGTTTCTTTTTTAATCTTTGTTTGATCTTGAATTTTCTTCCCTTACAGATGTAGAACTTTAGGTTTCCCAATGATTTTCTGAACTAGTTGCTTGAAGTGATTAAACTAAGAAGCTGCACAAAATTTTGGGTTTCAATTGCCTTCTAGGACCTAAGTTTTAGGGTATTCAATCCTTAGATTTTGCATTTTCTACTAGTATGTGTTCTATCTTGAGGCAGGCCTTCGGTGGAGGAATAGCCTTAACAGTGCCATCCGAACCCGCTATACCCACAATACGCTACGGAACCGAAAACACGGCTGCAACTGCAGTATAAATTACTTTCAGCCATTGGCAGCTCTACCATTATGTCGTACATGCTCTTGGAAACATAATAAAATGTCTTGAATTTTCCCTTACAGATGTAGAACTTTAGGTTTCCCAATGATCTTCTGAACTAGTTGCTTGAAGTGATTAAATTGAAGTTCTGCACAAAATTTTGGATTCCAAGTATTTCTTGGACCTAAGTCTTAGGGTGTTCAATTCTTAGATTTTCCATTTTGTACTAGTATGTGTTCTATCTTGAGGTAGGTCTTCGGCGGATTTAAATAGTGTTGACGGTGCCGTCCAAACTGTTATTGCATAACTGCGATACCCGCAATAGCATCCGTTATGCCCACAATCGCGATAAACGTTACACAACCGAAGATGCGGCTGCAACCACAGTGTAAATCCCTTTCGGCCATTGGTAGCTCTACCATTATGTTATAGATGCTCTTGGAAACATAATAGAATGTCTTGGAATATTTCTTTGCACAACTACTATTAAAGAAAAAAGACTCGTTGCATTGTGCCTTCAATTATGATCTTAAGTTAATATCAGTGTATTTTTGTTGTTACAGATGTGCCACAAACATGGGGTGATGCATAGGGATCTAAAACCCGAGAACTTTCTGTTTGCTAATAAAAAAGAGACAGCGGCTTTGAAGTCGATTGACTTTGGTTTGTCAGTGTTCTTTAAACCAGGTATTCATAAACATGATATTAATAACTTTGTACCCTCTGTAGTAAGTTTTCACCTTCTATGTTTGTTCTGTTTTTGAAGTTTGAATCTTTCCTGTTGCAGGTGAAATATTTACAGAGATAGTTGGAAGTCCTTACTACATGGCTCCTGAGGTGCTGAAAAGAAATTATGGTCCTGAAGTTGATGTTTGGAGTGCCGGTGTGATCCTTTACATTTTACTTTGTGGTGTCCCACCTTTCTGGGCAGGTTTGTATTGATTCGGTTAAAGATAATCGCTGTTTGAGTAATGAGAATTATATATTCCCATGCATTCATGTTTAGGAACTGCAAATAAACGATGGTTTCTATTATTATCCTCCTCCCCTTCCTATTTGAATTCAGTCGTAACACAATTTTTCCTCGTTTTCCTCGATTAGTCCTATTTCCACCTTATGTTCACTTCCATCTTACATTTTATTTCATCTCTTTTTCCTCTCTAACTTTCCTTATTTGTATGCAGAAACTGAGCAAGGAGTTGCGCAGGCTATTATTCGCCCTGTTATAGATTTTAGGAGGGATCCTTGGCCTAAAGTTTCCGAGAATGCGAAAGACCTTGTGAGGAAGATGCTCAATCCTGACCCTAAGCGGCGACTTACAGCTCAGGAAGTACTAGGTAAGTTTTAGTTCTAATGATATAGGTTTTCCGGTCACGGAAGTTATATTAGCCTCTAATATAGTTTCTAAGCAAAATTGTATTTCTATTTTGATACGAATCCTAAACCGAGTCGTTTATTGTCTATTGAATTCAGATCATCCCTGGTTGCAAAATGCAAAGAAGGCTCCAAATGTTTCCTTGGGAGAAACTGTGAAGGCAAGGCTCAAGCAGTTCTCTGTAATGAACAAGCTCAAGAAAAGAGCTCTCCGGGTAATGCTTCTTGCTTTTTTCATGGCCAGTGGAACCCGAATAAAGCTTCAAGTCATTTCTTATTAACCTTTTTCCCATTTTTCTTTTTGGGAAATTGTATACTGACAGGTAATAGCCAAGCATCTCTCGATCGAGGAAGTTGCAGGCATAAAAGAGGGATTCAAATTGATGGATACTGCCAATAGAGGCAAGATTAACATTGATGAGCTAAGGGCTGGGTTGCATAAACTTGAGCATACTATTCCTGATTCAGATCTTCAAATACTAATGGAAGCTGTAAGTTCGACCCGAAGTTTGCATTATGTTTTGTCATCGACATTTGGCGGTGGACGCTTGAAATGTGTCACCATTAGTTTGTTTCTGTAATCAGTTTTCACTTTCGTACAACTGTTCACTCTTTTACAGAGCCAATAATCCACTGAGATCTAGTTTTATAAAAGCTAGTGGGTCAACTTGATTTCTCTTACTTTCAAAATCAAGTCTTGAACATCCATCGGTGGCCATTGTCATACTCGTTTTAGAATAATACGTGCATTGCATGGCTATCAACATGTGCCACTTTTGCAAGAGAAGTAACTAAAAATTCATCATTTTGAGTCACAGGGCGATGTAGATAAAGATGGATATCTGGACTACGGAGAGTTTGTTGCCATCTCAGTTCACCTGAGGAAGATGGGGAACGACGAGCACCTTAAAAAGGCATTTGAGTTTTTCGATAGAAACCAAAGTGGTTATATTGAGATTGAGGAACTAAGAGACACCTTATCCGATGAAGTTGAAACAAACAGTGAAGAAGTCATCGGCGCCATCATGCACGATGTCGACACGGACAAGGTTAGAGAGATTTTCCCTCTTTTTGCTCCCTTAGCAGTTTATCCCGAGATGTTCTAACAGGGAGAAGTCGAAAAGAAATCATTTTCGAAACTTGAGAACTATAAAATGATGAGATGATGCTGATACCGTGTTTGCTGAATCTACTGCAGGATGGGAGGATAAGTTACGATGAGTTTGCGGCGATGATGAAGGCCGGTACGGATTGGCGAAAAGCGTCGAGGCAATATTCGAGAGAGAGGTTTAACAATCTCAGCTTGAAGTTGATGAAGGATGGATCATTGCAAATGAACAATGAGCCTAGATGACCCAACAGCACATTCAAAGGTTCCACTAATGAAAGAGGCTGTTGATTTCAGCTTCTAATTTTTTATTTATTTTTTTATCTGAAAGAAAAAATAATAATAATTAGGGTTTACAAGGATTGAGCCATGCCAAGGTTTGTCCATATAAGGAAATTTCCATTTGTTTTGTTCATGTACTCAGATTTGAGTGGTGAGCGTTGGATATAGATACATGTCCTTGATGGGTATATTCAATTATTCTGTGTATTTGGAAGATTTCTGAATATTATATTTTCATACTAATATCTACATGGATGTACAATCTTAGCTATTCAAAATTCAAATAGTAAGTAAATCATAGAGGTACGAAGTTAAATCTAAAAAATAACGTTGGGTACACGTGTGAAGATCAAGTATCATCTTTGATACGTCCTCAAAAAACTCTCAAACGTAATCCTAGTCGTATTCCTTTTATATGAAACAATATCGGTGTAAAGATCAAACACCGTCTCTGATACGTCCTCGAAAATCTATGAAACGTGTGTCAAGCACCGTCTCTGAAAGCTTGTTGGTCATTTACATGCATCCATCATTCCAGTAAAACTTGAAAGTGGTGTTGGATAGCTTTACATGGTATCAATATATCTATAACTACATACAGAATTATGTATTTACATGGAACTGAATAGGGAAAATAGATTATTGTGAAATGGATCAGAGATGTGGTCAACCAGGTTCCCTACAGGACCTTTACCTGTCAAAGCAGCTTGGAAATAAAACCCTAACCAAGCAACCATGGCCAGCCTCCCATTTTTAATCTCCTTCACCTTCAGCTCCTCAAAAGCTACTGGGTCGCTTGAAAGCTTCAATGGGTCAAACAGCACTCCTCCCGGATAATTAACATCGCCCGGCAAGTATATCCCGAGTGGTTCCAACGCTTCGATCCCGCAATATCTTGCGTATTCTGGTCCAACCTACATATTATTACCCAAACATGAGTTGTTCAAGAGTTCACATGTTGTCAACAATCAGAACGCAAAGCATGGATATCGAGATCGATTACCATTAGGAGGGCCTGACAGATAGCTATGACGATCACCCCTTGCCCTCCGGCTAAGTGTAGACCTGGGATGCCAAGGTAGTCCAGTGTTTCTCCCTAGTGAAAATCAGTAACAGATAAGTTGTAATACTACAATTTGGTACATATAGATTTGCAAATAAAGTCAAATTTGGTGTTCCTTTACAAGAAAGATGACTATTTCCTATTATATATCCTAAGTTTCAGTGAATTTCCACATATACCAAATTTTTTTTTTCAAAATGGTTTTCAATATTGTTGTACTTCCACCAAAGTTCTCCGCATAAACTATTTTCGCGCCTCATGGCCGTTGGAGGACCCTAAAGCACCAAGGACTCTCCAACATCAAAGGAACTCTAGAGGACAAAGAAGGGGTGAACTGCCTACTGCCACCCCTACCCATTTAGGCCATCAATAAGTATATAAAAATATACCTAGAAATTAACTAAGAGTAAACAAACTAACACTCCAGACTAAAATCTGAAGGTAGTTAATGAAGTGATGCAAATTAAGAACCTGAAGTTTGGAATAGCCCACTCGCCACCAAACGGGTTCAGCAAAGTGAGAGATACTGAGCATATCTAATATTTCTGGAACCACAACACCAAGGGCTGCAAGCATTGCCCAACGAGCATGGAGTATTTCGAAACTGCATTACACAGATTGCATGACATCATTTAATAATTCAAAGTATCATCATATACTAAATTTGATGATAATAGATTTTCCCAGCCGAGGAACCTTATAACCAAGTAACTGACGTTTAACATTGTCAACTATTTTGGTTCATCATTCTTCACCTTAAATGTCTTTAACAGGCATGAGTTTAGAAGAAATTGAATCGACATAAATGTGGACGTACTTGAAGTATTTATGGAAATCCACAGGATCCTTTCCTAGACCGGCAATATCAAAACCATAATCCCCAGGCAGTTCTCCGGTCAGGTATTCAGGATAGTCATATGGGATGGGGCCAAGCCATCTAGGGCGGTCTTCTCCGTACCAGAAGCTGAAAAACAGAGACATATATATATGTGTGAATAATGTCTTCAAGGAGCTTACATGTTTGGTACATCAAGTGGACACTCAAAGTTGCTAATTAAAGAATGGGTAAACTACACATTTAGTACTCCAACTATCACTTTTGTTCCGTTTTGATCGCTAACTATTTTTTTTTAAATCATACCTAATGTTTAATTTCAATTTCATTTTAATCACCCGCCGTTAAAAATTAACGGTGATGCTGATATGTCACCATAAGATAATACCATGTCACCACTAAAAAAAGTCACGTCAGGACTTCTTTTAATTTTTTAATGTTGGATGACTAAAATGAAACCAAAACATAACGTTAGATATGATTTTGAAAAAAAATAATTAGGTGACCAAATTGGAACAAAAATGATAGTTAGGGTATTAAACGTGTAGTATACCCCTTTAAGAATTTTTTACTCCAAAAGTTGATACCTAAAATAATTTTGCTCTCAAAATGGTACATAAAGAATTTTTATTTCCATATTGATGCTCCAACTTTAATTTCATCTATTGTTTTGGTACTTTTATTAACGGGTTAATTTTTCATTCATATTATGCAAGAGTAAGACCAGAAAATAAATAAAAATGAGAATGAAAAATCAGAGTCTTTCGCTCATAAAAAATGAACGAAATTATAAAGAACATATCGAAGGTTCGAATAAAAAAAATAAATGAATAAAACTGAACTACTCGATAAGTTTTTTGGATCTGATCAAATTCTATTTAGGGTTTCTAATCTTAAAAAAATATGAAGATGATGACTATGATGATGTTACGAGGTCGGATATATAGGTGATGAAATATTGATTAGGGATGATAATTTAATCCATATCCGACATGTTCCGACTCAATCTGATTAATATTGATTAATAGAAGATTTGGTGGTATTGTGCGAGTGCTGGTGCTTGGATTGATGGTGGGGTTGAGTGGAGTGACGATGATTTGTTTGAGAATTAAATTGATAATATTTATGAACGTATTCAGTTAAATTTATTGAATTATTTAGATCTATAACTAAATTCGTAAAATGTATAAATATTAATGACTAAAATGTTGTTATACCAATTAAAAAAGGACCACGTCATCATTAGAAACGTTAATGTCCAAATTGAAAGTCTTTGTAGTTTGGTGGCTAAAATTAAGGGTAAATTACAAGTTTAGTACCATATAATTAAGGGTAAATTACAAGTTTAGTACACAAACTATCAGTTTTGATCCATTTTAATACTTAAACTTTCAATTTTTTAAAATCATACCTAACGTTTAGTTTTTATTTTGTCTTAGTACCTCATCATTAAAAACTTAACGAGACTGTATTTTTTATGGATAAATTACATCATTCATCCTTCAACTATCTCCTCACTCCCATTTTTCTTCTAAAGTTTAAAAACTTACAATTTAACTATTCAACTTTCAAATTGCTCATATTTTAATCACTGTAATTTATTTTATTAATAATTTTGGTGACATGACATTTTTTATTATTATTTTATTAGTATATAATAACAAATAAATTTGAAAGTTAGAGTGATTAAATTATGAGTAATTTGAAAGTTAAGTAATTAAATTAAAAAAAATAAACTTTACTGAACAAAATAGGAGTGAGAAGATAGTTGAGTGATGAATGATGTAATTTACCCATAAAAAATGTATCACCTGCAAATCACCCGTTAAGTTTTTAACAACGATGTACTAAAATAAAATAAAAACTAAATTTTAATTATGATTTTAAAAAAATTAAAAATTTAAGTACTAAAATAGATAAAAAATAATAGTTTAAATACTAATCGTGTAACTTACCCTTTAGTAAAACATTAAAGGATACAAAGAGTAAGTCACATTTTAGCCTAAACTACTTCCTTTTTCCTACACGTGCACCTAATCTTTTTAGGTCCACATTAGTACTTAAACTTATCTACTTATCCTTATTCCCTCGTTAATATCTAACATGTTTTGTGCATAGATTTTTTAATTTAATTTAATTTAAAGCTCGCACTGTCAGACCATATAATCATATGACAAAGAATATATTAAGGTTTAATACTTAAACTATCAGTTTTAATCAGTTTTAGTACTTTAAATTTTTAATATTTTTAAAATTATATCTAAAATTTAATTTTTGTTTCATTTTATTTTATTATCTTTTCGTTAAAAAATTTAGATTTTATTTTATTTTAGTTCTTTATTCAAAATTTAACGTTAAGTTTTGTAAAATTTAAAAGTTTTTAATTAAACAAATTGATATTTCAGGTACTAAACGCGTTAAATTTTTAATGACGGACACTAAAATAAATGAAAACTAAGTGTTATGTATAATTTTAAAAAAATTAAAAATTTAAGTATTAAAACGAATCAAAATTAATAGTTTAAGTACTAAATACGTAATTTATCTTATGATCAAAGGCTTAGTTTTTAATAGGCCTGTAAAAGAATCAAACGAACACGAAAGAGGGTATGTTCATATTCGTTAATTTAACTTTATCCAAATAAATAAGCAAATACAAACAACTAAACGAACGAAATTTTTTATTCGTTTATTAAGAAATTTATATTGTTCATCTCCTTTTGTTTAAATGATAAACGAATACAAAAAAAACGAATGGAGACAACCACAATTAAACTAACATAAGATTAATTGAATTTATATTTCATAAGTGTTTTTTTCTTTTCAAATAATTTAAAATTTATATTTTATTTACTTAATTTGAATATTTTTTATTTGAGTTTAAAATTAATTAAGGTTAAAAATATTAATAATTTAAAGTTAAAATTTATTAAAAATTTATATTGTTATTGTCTGTTAGTTTAAGGAGCAAACGAATATAACTGTTCACAAACAGTTCGGTGGTAAAGGTTTGTTTAGCGCCATAATTTTCAGACAAAGCCATAATATTACCTCTCATTTCTTGCTTTCCGAGCTAAAGCCTGGAACCTTGAAGAATTATCAAGAGCTTCTTTCTTCCTCTTCAACAATTGCCTCTGCAGGGAGTCTCCCAGAGGGCTATTAGCGACGGCTTTGACCGCCGTGAAAGGAATCGCCGAAAACACCAACACTCCCGCCAGCTGAAAACAAGCATACCCTAATATTATTTTTTCCGATAAGAACAAAATTCCGAACAAATTGAAAATCCAAAAAGAAGAACCGCGAAACACCTCTTGCCATGAAGCTCTGCAAGGAGTAAAAGAAGTGGACTTAGGGTTGGCGAGTTTAGTAGGGGGCCTGGAAGAGAATACAGCGGAGAGGGAGCGTCTGCCTCCTACTCCTCCGCCGTTGATGAAAAATGAAGAAGATGTGGAAGACAGACGAAGCTGCGCTGTGATTTCAGCCATTCGATTTTAAGGCCACTGCTTAATTCTAAAACTAATAAATCTCTTTACTTGTTCATGGGACAGGCCACCCGTAGGCCTAATTAGATATGCACATAGCCGGATTTAAATCCGATCCGAATCGAATAAAAATCGATCCGGTTTTTTCACTAAACCAAAAAATCGATTTATAAAAAAATCGGTTCGGATCATAATCGGTTTGGAAGGCCGGATGATATAACCGGTGTAACTGGTTTTAGTTTGAAAAAAATCAGTTTTTTAAAAAAATCGATTTTTAATCCGGTAAAAAATCCGGTCATCCAATTTTTTAAACCCCAGACCAGATTTTTAAACCCCATACCAGATTTTTTTTCCGGATAAAAAACCAGTTTTTTATCCGGTTTTTTTCAAACCAGTTTTTAATCCGGTAAAAATCCGGTCATCCAATTTTTTCTCAAACCAGTTATACTATCCGGTTTTAAAATATCCGATCCGGTTTAAAAAAACAGGTTTTTCTCAAATCCGGTTTCGAATATTTTTTACACAAAATCGAATATTCGGATTTTTTGTGCACCTTTAAGCCTAATCCATTCAAAACTTGATGAATTTACTATTTAAATCATTAGTTTTTGGTATATTTTAGTATTTAGAGTTTTAGTTTTTAAATATTATATTTAAAGTTTATTATTTGTTTCATTATAGTACTTGTCATTAAAAATTTTATTTTTTATTTTATTTTAGTATCAGTTCAAAATTTAATGTTCAATTTTGAAAAAATTAAAAATTTGGGTATTAAAACGAATCAAAACCGATAATTCAGGTATTAAACATGTTAAGTTTTTAACAACGGATACTAAAATGAAATGAAAACTAAACATTAGGTAGGATTTTGAAAAAATTAAAAGTTTAAGTATTAAAATGGACCAAAACTGATAGTTTAGGTAATAAATGAATAGTTTACCCAAAAATTAATTATATTGTAAATTTAATTGAATAAACATCATTACTAAATAGTTTTTTAAATTAATATGGAGTAATTACAATATAATATCTGTTAAAAAATAACTCTAAATCATTTGACATTGAAAGCTAATATTTCTTATATTTTTTGTGTCCGAACACGAGAACTCAAGAAATAAAAATAATTCTTTTATCACCAAAATCGTTTGTTTTGTGGCTAAATATTTCTTTTATCACCGAATTGGCTTGTTTTTTTGGGTGTAACATTAACGTCGTTAGTTAGTTTTTTTATCAAGCAAAGTTCATAAATTATCCCCTAACTATAGGATGTTGTTTTAGTGAGTTATTCAACTATTAAAATTTATAAAATGGTTTCTTGATTATATAATATTACTTTGTTGAGTCTAGTGACTATTAAAAGTTACAAAATGGTTTCCTGACTACTCTTATGTTTAAAAATCATCCTTTTTCGTTAAAAATGACGACAATCTGAGTTGGACATTAACCTGGTGACTGAGATATGATAAAATTTGATCCCAAAAATCTAAAACGATTATTATATCCCAGTCAGCATGTTACCGTCTAACTTAAGCAACTTTCAATTTTTTAACGGAAAATGACAAGTTTGGAACATATGAATAGTCGAGTGATTATTATGTAATTTTTAATAGTCGAGCAACTCAACAAAACAACGCCCCTATAATCGAATGATCATTTAATAACTTTTAATAATAGAGAAACTTGACAAAATAATACCCTATAATCAGGGGACTTTTTTGATACTTTACCCTTTTATTTATTAATATTTTCTAAATTGTCTTAAATTATGACATGGTTAAAATTTGTAATTGAAATGTTTCAATTACTATTACTTTAATAATATCCAAGGGTATCAGCGATTAAAAAAAATGTTGTTTTCTTTTCACATTTTGAGTTCGAAATTATATTTGTAAGATATATGTTGATAATAGTTAAAAAAATTGTAAGCATACTCGGATATATGGTACATATATAGTTATATGAGTGTAATTATACTCGAATTCAAATCCAATTAATTATTGAGTTAATTGCATCACATATCCTCAAAGTATGACTTTTATTTTAAATTAATCTCTAAACTTTTAAATATTTTAATTTTATCCTTAAACTATATTTATAATTCTAAACTAGTTCTCAAATTTTTAAACATTTTAATTTAATCCCTATGACCTTCATTCTAAATCAGTCCCAAACTTTCTGAACATTCCAATTCCATCCCAAACTATATGCATATACTAATCACAACTCCTTGTTAATAAAATCATTAGGCCAAGTTATATTATTATATGTTTGGGGGAAAAAAACAAATATTAGGTTAAACTATGGTGAAACTAATTACATATTTAGATGAATTTGAGGATGAAATTGGAATACTCAAAAAGTTGGGGACCAAATTAGAAAGATGGTCATAGTTTATGGATGAAATTAGAATGTTCAAAAGTTTAAAGACTGATTTAGAACAAGAGTCTTAATTTGGGGATCTAATTATTCAAAAGTTTAAGGACCAATTTAAAATAAAAGTTATAGTTTGAGGACCAAAAATCATAGTAACACATTAGAAAATCGAAAGCTTTTGATTCTCCTGGATATTACAAAGTGTTTTCACTCTTAAAGATTCCAAATTAAATCAGACTGTTGATCGGTTTTGTCTTATTTCTTGAAGCATCTCCACTACCTTCTTCATCTTCGGTCGTTTCGCAGGCGTACCGTCCGTGCAGAGTAAGGCCACCTTCAAAGCGGCTAGCATTTCTCTCCTCCAACCGAACGATACGGTGCTAAGCTTCGCGTCGAGTATCTGCTCCGGGGTTTCGCCTCTCGCCGGAGCACCGTGAACCCATTTCACCAGGTCTACTCCTTCACCGAAATCCTCGTCGACGGGTAACCGGCTGGTGAGTATCTCGAGCAACACGACCCCGTAGCTGTATACGTTTCCCGGTGCAGCGACTTGCATTGTGTAGGCATATTCTGGAAGATGATGCAGAATTGTGAGTTATGGTAGTTTTTAAACCGTATGATACGGTGAGTTATGGTGATTACCTGGGGGGATGTAGCCAAAGGAGCCTGCAACAGCACTGATACTTGCAGTACCTTTGGATGGATCTAAGAGCTTCGATATTTCGATCTCTCCGAGCAATGGCTTGAAGTCTGCGTCTAAAAGTACATTACCTGAAGAGATATCGAGGTGGATAACCGCCACGTGATGAAGGAAAGCCAATCCTTCTGCTACTCCGACTGCGATCGATAGTCTTCGGGGCCAGTCGGGCTGATACTCTGGCAGCTTTGAGGACTCGTGAAGGAGTTGAGCTAGTGTGCCATTGGGTAAATATTGATGCAGCACAAGAGCAACATCTTCATAGATGACGAATCCGATCGGTCGGACCAGATTATCGTGATAGAGCTTGCTTAGTCTTTCGAGCTCCCTGATCATCTTGTTTTGGTGATGAATTATGGTTCTGTCCATCGATTTCAGTCTCTTCACCGACAAAACCAGTCCCGAAGGCATGACCGCCTTGTAAATGACGCTGAAAGTCCCGTCGTTGATTTTATTTGAATCCATTAAAGTGGCTTTGATTACAGCATCGAGATCTACCGCCTGCCTGAGATTCTCAACAAACACGTTCCCTGCTATTATTGTCGGTCGGCTACTGGTTGCTTCATCTATAACGTCTACACTTTTTGACGCCTTCTCTTGTCTCTCCCTCATCATAAAGAGCAAAACCACTATTGTGACCGATATGAACACCGCAAGACCAGAACCGATAACCGCCAGTATAATCCTGTAAGATACCCTATGGTGGTAATTTGCGTGGTCGGAACAGATAGAGTCTGCACATAAGAAACTCAAGGGCTCCCCACAGAGCCCTCTGTTTCCTTGAAAGCTAGAATTTGTACTCTTTTGGAACGGTACAAATGTTGGTATCGGGCCAGCAAGCAGATTATTAGAGAAATTGACCTCTATCAAGCTCAGCATACCTTTAAGTTCTGGCGGAATATCACCAAAAAGCTGGTTACTGGAGACATCGAGAGAAACCAACTTGTCTAATTTCCCTAATTCCGGGGGCAGTTCACCATGAAGATGATTGAAGCTCAAATTTAAAGCTATCTGCAAGTTTCGAATATGACCGATCTCAGGAGGTATACTTCCGGTTAAATAGTTTCTTCCAAGCTGCAATTCAAGCAGTTTCACACAATTTCCGATGTCACTAGGTATTTCCCCTTCAATCGAATTCTGCCCCAAGAGCAAGTACTGCAATCTTGTCATATTGCAAATTTCGTTCGGTATAGTACCGTTAAATCTGTTGTTGCTTAAATCAAGCTTGTTAAGATTCTTGCACCCAAGAATTGATCTTGGGATATCTCCAAACAGACTGTTCCCATAAAGAATAAGCTCTTGAAGATTCGTAAGTTGTCCGATCTCCGGAGGGATTACTCCAGTGAATCCATTATAGGCCAAATTCAGGAGTGTAAGGTTAGTACACAGAGCAAACTCCGATACGATTTCACCGGAGAGATTGTTGTTATCCGCTTCGAAATAGGTGAGGCTAATAACATTCCCGATCGTCCTGGGAATGACACCGACGAGTCTGTTATTCCCAATTCGAATACTTGAAAGGCCTCTGCAGTTACCAATTGCTTCAGGAAGATCACCAGTGAGTCCATTCTGGGTGAGAACCAAAATTTCCAGCTTCCCCATGGCGAAAACGCTCTTGGGTATGGGCCCATCGAACCGGTTTGAATGAAGGTTCAGCAACTTGAGTTCAGAAACCAAGCCTAGATTACCAGGAATCTCACCACCCAAATGGTTCTCATAGGCTGTAAAGACTCTCAAATTGGTCAGCTGTCCCACCCAATGTGGGATAGAACCATTCAGCCTATTGCTAGAAACCTGAATATCCTCCAACTTTTCAAGCACCCTAAATTCTAGAGGTATCTGTCCTACAAGCAAGTTGTTTGACAAGTTCAAAGATCTAAGATTTACAAGACCAGCCAACTCCAAGGGAATAGAACCATCAAACTTATTCAATGACAAATCCAGATACTCAAGCTCAG